TAAAAATTTTATTTTTTTTATTAATTTTATTTTAAAAACTTTTTTCTAATTTTTCTAAAAAATTTTTTTTCGAAAAAGGTTTTACCTCCCTATTTTCCATTTGTATTCTGAACCCCCCAAAAACAATAAATATCTTTTATCAAAAAAAATTGGTTTTTTTTTTTTATTTTTTTTGCTTTTCATGTAACATGAATGTAGTTTAATATAACATGAACTCAAAAAATATAAATTTGGTGAACACTGAAGTTAAAAAAGATATTTAAACTAAATTTTCAATAAAATAAGATTTTTTTTTTTTTTTTTTTTTTTTTGGTTACTTACTATTTACAAATGTTATTTTTTTTTATTATTTTTTTTTTTTTTTTTTTATTAAAAAAATTAATTGTAATAATGACTAGGGGGCCAAATTTTGGTGTCTATATAATCACCAAATATTTTCTTGTATAAATTGATGGTTCTTTCATATCTTTCTTTTCTGTCTCTATCATCTCTTGAATTGTTTGGGTTGCATATAATTGGGGTTTTTAAAATTTTATTAAAATCTAAAAATAAAATTTTTTTTTGATTAGTATTTGTATTGGTGTGGTGATAACAATAAATTATATTTACCATTGTAAGAATTCATATCAATGATGTGGGTGTGCCAAAATTCTTCTACTAAAGGACTTGGCTCTAATTTATTTGTTTGACCGGTTGTATCTGAATCATAAATTTTTAGCAGCATGAATCTTACATATTCTATATTTGAAATGAATTTAAAAGAAAGTTAGTTTTAAATTTAATTGATATTGTTTAATAATAATAATAATAATAATAATTAAATTACCTCTTGAAACATTATATGATAGGTCTTTATTTCTACTGATTATTTGACTAAAATTTGCATAAAAAAGTTTAAATATATGGTTTTCAAATTCTTTAATATCATCAAAACTATGATAGCTACCAGCACCGACACCATTACTATTGCTAGAGACAGCACTATCACTACTATTAGCACTAAGGGTATCTGATTGTTCGAAATTTAATCTCTTTTTAGGTGGTTTCTTTGATATATCGTGTTCATATGGTCTTTTCTTTAAAGGTTTATGGGGTGCGATTTTTTCTTCATTGCTTTTATTACTGGTGGTTGATAAAGTTGGATTTTTATCTGATATATTTTCATTTCGATTTTCATTTGATTGCTTTGATTCTTGATTAAGAAGTTTAAGCCGAATTTCATCATATTCATCAATTTGAAATGTATCATTGCCCATATCGTAATCACCATGACCATTGTTGTGTTTTAAAGGACTATTTGGTATTAAATTATCCGAACTGTGATTTTTATCTTTGGAGTAGAATAAAGAGGATTGAATCGTGTCAGGGTCCAAGTCAGATGAATCTAATTGGTTTTGAGTGGGCGGATTCTCTGATAAAGGTTTGTTGAGTTTGTCGATATTATTATCATTATCGCAGGTATTATTATTGGCAGTTTTATTTTCGAACTTGAGTTCATGTTTAGATTCGGATTCAGATTCGAGTTCAGATTCAAATTCAGATTTGATTTTGATACTATTGATGCCTTTAATATTATGGCAGTTAATTTTTTGATTTGGGTCATTGGTTGAATCTGAGTCATCCTCAATATTGTTTGAGTCTGAATCTGAATCTGAATCTGCATCTGAGTCTGAGTCTGAGTCTGAATCTGAATCTGAATCTGAATCATTATCAACACTGTTACTGCTTGAGTTTAAATCATCACTCGAGGTTGAGTCACCGTCATTATCACTATAGTTAAAAGAGTCTGAATCATATTCTTTTACATTTGTATTGGTTTGAGCGGCCATTTGAATCTTTTTTTGATTTCTTCTTTTATATATATGATGTCTACAGGATCTCTTTGGAATTCGACATGGTTTACCCTTAACATTAATAATACCGCATCTTTCTTCATTTAAATTTCTTTTTTTAAATTTTGAATTGCTTTCTAAATTAACATCCAAATGATTATCATCTAAATTGTTATTATCTATATTATCTATATTAGTATTGATATCTATATTATTATCACCACTATTATTGTTTAAATTGCTATCTAAATTACTATTGCTTTTAGTATTGATTCCATTATTTTCAATATTATTTGAAGAGTTTGGTGACCAAGGATTATAATTAGTATTGATTAATCTCCAGAAACCAACAACGTTCATTTCTTCTTTAGATGATGAAAAAAAGGATGGGTTATTTCTTAGTTTCTCTGGTACATATTTCCTCCAATAGCTTTTATAATTTAGTTCTAAATTTAATTTTGAGCTATGTGATTCCATAAAGGCATAGGCATCTTTAAGGTTGATTGAGATTTTGGAGATTTCTCTTTTTCGGATCTGTTCTTCAGACATTTCTGTATCATTTTCGCTTGTATTGTCTAGTAATCTACGTTGCTCTTCGATTTCATTTGCTAGTTTAAGATTGGATCTAGTTATTATAAATAATATAATTTTAACTCTTTCTAACCAATCGGCTGGAGAATAGGTGTCAATTGGTGGTAATGATGGCGGTGGGCCGTTGATACATATCATACAGTCACATGGATCTTCAGGAATTTGATTTGACTTAATATATTCCTTTACTTTGTTGGTTATGACTTGTAAAGTTTCATAAAAAGTAACTTTTTTTTCATCTAGTTGAATTTTATAATAATCTCTTGCTATATTGCACAGTATTTGAAATGGAATCGAGTCTAGAAAAACACCATTAATTTTATAATACTTTTTGCCAAGAATAGAAAGATGGGTTATACTTGGTTTGCTGTCTGAATTTAGGTTGAGTTGTTCTGATAGGTTTTGAGTGGTTATATTTACATTTTGAATATTCTTTGAATTATTGATGGATTTTAATTGTTCTTCGTCATCGCTATTCATTGCATCATAGTACCCATTGGCATTGTCTTCATGGTCTTCACTGGAATCACTACCACAATCACGATCGCTATCGCTGCTATTATAGTTTTTGGTGTTTTTCTCTTTGGATTTTAATTTTGTTTTTGATTTTGATTTTGATTTTGGTATTGATTCATCATCATTATCATCACTATCGTCATTATTATTATTGTTATTATTATTACTATTATTATTATTATTAATATTATCATTATCGTTATTATCATTATTTCTAATTTCTTTGTTAGTATTTTCAGAATATTCAGAGTCCTCATCGTCATATTCGCAATCTTCATCATCTTCGTTGTCATCTTCATCATCTTCGTTGTCATCTTCATCACCCTCATCATCTTCATAGTTTTCATAATCTTCACCATATTCATATTCTTTAGACAGGGTATCATTTTCGTCATTTTCATCATCTTCATCGTCTTCATCGCATTCATTGTTGTCATTATCTTTGCTTTGTTCATTTAATAGCCTTAGCTTTTTGTATTTATCTTTGTAATACCTATTCTTTTTTCTATTTTTTTCTTTCTTTTGTATTTGTCTTTTTTCTTTAACCATTTTATTCTTTTCTTGTTGCCTTTTTAGAGTAGCTAAATATCCTTTTGCACATTTACAGTTTGATGAGTCGAAGCAATTTACCAAATCTCTGGTGCTAACTTTATAAATATCTGATAGTTCCTTTTGAATTGTTGAAATTTTTGTGTGGCCATCAGTACCATTATGCATTGATTCTGGAAACAAACCTATATACACTTTTTTATAATGTTTTGTCTTTAATCCTATTTTGTCTTCACTTTTAAATTCGAGCCCTCTTCCTCTATAGCTTTCTAATGTCCTTTCAAGTTCTCTTTTGTAATTCCTTTTTTCTAAATAAACAACAATAAAAATAAAAGTTATTTGTAAATAGGTAATTTTATATAATTTTAATTAAAGTTAGAGTTTACATACGTGTACTATTTGGTTTAAAATATAAATCGCTACCTAAAAGTTTGTATGTATCATCTAAATATTTCTTAAACTTTTTCAAATTGTCACCAATATGAAGAGTGTAAAATGAATGTAGCGATCTTGTGGATTGAATAGAGTAATACAAATATTGATGCTTGTAATACCTTCTGATTAGCTCTTGGGAGTCTTGAGGAAATTCATAGTTTTCTTTGTCTTTAGATAAATAATAGTTTTTTATAATTAATTCTAAATCGGGTGTAATATTATTAAATGAAAAATTATCTATTCTATTAAATTTAATATATCCATCATTATATTCTATTTTTGGATTAAAATATTCTTCATCGTCTGAATGGTTGCTATTTTTATTTGATGAATCTGTTAATGTGGGTGATGAAGATGTGGGGGAAGTGGTGGTTGTTGTTTTTTTTGAGGAATCGGGTTTTTTTGTTTGTTCGCTTGGTGTTTGATTGTTATCAACTAAAAACAATCTATTATTATTATTATTATTATTATTATTATTATTATTATTATTATTATTATTATTATTATTATTATTATTATTATTATTATTATTATTCATATTATTATTATTGTTATTCATATTCATATTATTCATATTATTATTCATATTATTATTCATATTATTATTTGATTTAATATTTAAACAGCTATTCATATGATGCCTCATATTTATATTGTTTAAAGTGTTGTTTATAATGTTATTAATATTACAAGAAGTGGTATTTATATCGGTGTTTATTACTGGATTTGCCTTCTTATAAGAGCTTTTTTTATACGATGGGTTATTGATGTTGCTGCACCTATTAAACGAGGGTCCAATGTTATTTTCGGTGCCAGAATCATTGTTTATATTATTTGTTGGTGGAGATTTATTATTTTTATTATTTGTAATACTATCAATTATTGGTGGTGGTATTGGTAGAGTTGGCGGTGTTGGTGGAGTTGGCGGTGATGTTTGTTGTAGTTGTTGTAGTTGTTGTAGTAGTTGTTGTTGATTAGGGGGCATAACGAAACTATTATCTTTTAAATTATTTACACTATTAGTTTTATTATTTATATTTGAATTTATTTTATTTGAATCTGCCATTCAAAATATATAAATAAATAATATTACTAGTTTTTATTTTTATTATATTGAAATATAATAA